GGCAGCCTCAGGACATCCTGGAAAACTACAGAAATGAACACAGGACAGAGCGTCAACCTCCATCCCAACGCTTCATCCACACTGGTGTTCCCACTGATTTTTCTGGACATCCTGGAAATTAGGGAAAAGAAACAGTAGATAGCATCCAACCCCCAATCTATACCAGCCTTCCCACATTATTCCTCAGAACATCCTGGAAAGTTAGGGAACAAGAGTACAGGAGAGGGTTCAATCTTCATACATACCCGTCTTCCCACTATCAGCCTCTGGCCAGCCTGGAAGTTTAAGGGAAATACAGTCCAATGTCAATCCCAACACCTTTCATACCCATCTTCCCACTGGCAGCCTCTGGACTGAGGCAGGAGACAGGAGTGAGCATCCATTCCAACTCCTCATCCATACACGTCTTCCCACTGTCTGCCACTGGACATTCTGGAAAACTACAGAAATGAACACGGGACAGAGTGTCAACCTCCATCCCAACACTTCATCCACGCTGGTCTTCCCACTGGCTGTTTTCAAGACATCCTAGACAGCATCCAAACTCCAATCTATCTTCCCATCTATACCAGTCTTCCCACTGTCAATTCTTTTGGACATCCTGTAAAATTAGGGAAAAGTTACAGGAGAGGGTAACCAACCTCTATCCCAACTCCAAGCCATACCCATCTTCCCACTGGCCAGCCTGGAAAATGGAAAAGGGAAATGCAAGACAGGAGAGAGCATCCCACCTCTATCCCAACTCCTTATCCATTCTGGTCTTCCCACCGTCAGCCACTGGATAACCTATCTTGTCTGCCTCTGGACACTCTGGAAAACTACAGAAATGAACACAGGACAGAGCGTCAACCTCCATCCACACTGGTCTTCCCACTGGCTGCCCCTGCACTGGAGTCCATCTTGACCTCTGACCCCTGACATTTTGGTTTTTGAGCTCAGAGGGCAGGAGACGCTGCTGGAGACAGGAGAGACCATCAATCCCCATTCCATCTTCCTATCCACACCTGTCTCCCCCATGTCAGCCTCTGGAAATCCTGGAAAATTAGGGAAAAAAAGAGACAGGAGAGAGCATCAACCTCCATTCCAACTCCTCCTCCATACCCGTCTTCCCACTGTCAATTTTATGGGCATCCTAGAAAAATGAGGGAAAAGATTATAGGAGAGAACATCCAACCTCTATCCCAGCCATACTGGTCTCTCCACTGTCTGCCCCTGGACATCCTGGAAAATTAGGGAAAAGGAAACAGGAGAGGGTTCAATCTTCATACGTACATGTCTTCCCAGTATCAGCCGCCGGACTTATTGGAAAAGGGGAACGAGAGACAGGAGAGAGCATCCCACCTCCATTCCAGGACACGCTGCTGTAGGCTGCACAGCTGTGACAGCTGGTCCGTGTGTCTGAGGGCAGCAGTCTGGCTCTGCAGTCTCTCTGTGCCTCGTCATCTGTGTTCAGCCCAGCGCTCACCTGTCACTCAAGATTGTGTTAATTCAACAATAACAATACTTCACCAGGCTCTAGTAACTTTATAACAGTTCTCGTCTTTCACTAGTAGGGTTGTGTGTTCATGCCCTGAGTGTGACACAGGAGTGACAGGACTAACCTGACCTTGTGCTCAGGCTGGAGGTTTGTGTTGGACTCGGGTACGAGAGTGTAGTGTCAACAACACACTGACCAGGTCCTTGGGGGCGAGAGACAGCAGGAGGTCAGGACACAGCCCTGAGGGTCACCCCCTGGAGCCCCGATAGGAGGAGTCCGCTGGCTCTCCGCCTGGAGCTCATCTCCAAGGAGCAGCCTGAATCAGGGTCACCTGCAGCTCTTCATCGTCATAGTCACCCTCACAGGCTCCAGCAGGCAAGAGATCAGGACACCCTGGATGTCTCCCCGAGACGACTCCTACTCGGAGTCTGTGGATCCCAGATTGGTCCGATCATGTAAGACCAGCGTCGCCTGCGAGGGACAGCCAGTGAAGGGAGAGACTCACCTGGTCTGCACTCACCTGCCTGGCACCCCATGCCCTTCAGTGCTGATGGGGTACCCTGTCCCCTCCTGTGCTGACCGGT